TCAGCTGACTCAAGTGTATCAAAACTGATATAAAACTAACCAAATCTAATGCTTTTAATTTCCTCTTATTTTTATTTGTCTCTAATATTAAACCTTTGTGATCTGGAAAGGAATATTTTTGTATGTACTCATCATCTTATGAAAGGCCCAATTTAGTAAGTTCTGACTGTCAATTTAAAAAGAATTTGACTGATGTCCTTCTAACCTAATTATTATATGCCAAAATTAAACATTTTGATAGTATTCATCCTTTTTATATTAGGGATTCTTACTACTGTAGGTATCTTGAGGACTAAGGACCTGATCCAAAGCCCACTGAAGTCAGTGTGAGTCTTTCCTTTGACTTCAATGGGCTTTAGGTCAGATCCTAAGGGCCAAAGGAAAGGGGACACTGCTTGTGATAGTAGGGATTGCTCATGCAAGTAAGGTCTTGCAGGCATATGTCCCATGTAAGTAGGGATTACTTAGATAGATGGTCTCAGTTTTGGCACTCAAAATAATCAGCTGCGGTGGCTCCAGGCACCAGCGCTCCAAGCGCGTGCCTGGGGCGGCAAGCCGTGGGGGGTGCCCTGCCGGTCCCTGCGAGGGTGGCAGTCAGGCAGCCTTCGGCGGCATGCCTGCAGGAGGTCCGCCAGTCCCGCGGGTTTGGCAGCAATTCGGCGGCAGGTACGCCAAAGCCGCGGGACCGGCGGACCTCCCACAGGCATGCCGCCGAAGGCAGCCTGCCTGCCGTGCTTGGGGTGGCAAAAAAGCTAGAGCCACCCCGATAATCAGTCATTTATTTCACACAGTAATTGCAACACTTGTGCTGGTGATTTCCTGCTGTTCATCAAAAATTAAAAGCATTGCAGTGCTTGTTACTGTTTATACTCTCAAAACCATCTTGGGACCTGATCCTGCAGTTCCGAATCAGGTAAACCCTCACTGATTCCCAATTCCTTTCGACAATATCCTGCAAGGTGCCAAACTCTTCCTGTTACATTTGTGTCCCTTGTTACTTCACATATCCAGCAAAGTTCCTCTGGGTGGCATCCAGTGGCTCCTTAGACACTTTCGCAGTGTCCAGGGTTCTCTGCTAATGTCCCCTTCTGGAATCCTGATTTTGAACCTTTGACTTGTACCCACTTCCTGGTCTAAAAATTGCTGCCTAATCTTTAGAACTTTAAAACAGCTGCACAGAATGCTTGGACAATTTGTAAAGAAAGCAGAGATATAGTCATAATGGATCAAATTCACCCCTGTGCCTAAAGCTAGAGCAAGGCTTAGGCACCACTTAATCTCTATTTTAAAGGCATAAGTGGGCCATAAGCTCTCAGCACAGAGGTGAATTTTTCCCATTCTATGCATGTGAAAAGCAGTTAGTGCACGTGTATATTAGCCAAATATTATATTTGAAAAACAAGTGTTACAATATCAAAAACTGCAAGGCTGTATTGATAAACTACCATGGAACCTGAATTAAACCACCATTCAGCGGACTGACAAAAAGTGGCCCATCTTTAGGTAATCATTTAAGAAAGATGGCTAAGAATTTTGCTTGATAAACTGAATGGAATCATATAAAAGATTAGATCAGAATGATTTGATACCAACAATTATATTATGTTATTGTTTCTAAAACACTTGAAATCCATAACTTAAATACTTCTATATTAATGAACCCATTGAAATACAAATACTTTTCAATGTGATTTTCAGCAAATAAAATGTCACTTGCAGCTGAAACTTTGCTCTGTCTACCTGTTACCCTCAACACTGGCAACATAAACGTGCAGTTTATTAGGCCAGATCATTTCCTCCCACAGAAAGAGAATGTCGGAAGATGAAATTGCTAAGAGAACTCTCCACATTGTCTCCTTGAGGGCATAAAGTTTGTTTGCCCACCTCCATTGGAAAAGGCTGTGGGGCTTCCCAAGCCTGGTGGAACCCACAGGGATTTGTGAGCAGTCTGAGCAATCCAAGCAAGGCCCCATGCCTCCTCATTGTCTCTGGTTGCTGTGAGCTGTCAGGGTCTCTCCCTGTCTGCAGTTGCCCCTGGGATCTATTGGGGTGTTCCACAGAAAAGACAGCATGTCTTGTAACGTATATTATCTTTTCTGGGTATGTTTTGCAGGGATAGAGTCCTGCTCCCATCCCACTCCTCTTTTCCTGGCCATCCAGACTCCACTTTGTCCCTCAGCACAGAACCCTGTATCCTCAGAAAGGTCTCCATGGGGTCTGGAGGATGGGGGAATCCTGCAACAAAGACAGCTGACTCCATTTCTGCCAATTAACTGGGAGATACCTTCACAGAGGCTCAGTTCTGGGCTTGGATCTCAGGGGAATGATATGGCCATTGTATCTGATATGGCCATTGTTTGGCATTTCAGCATAAAAACTAGAAGCAACAAATGGAAAAATGCAAAGTGCAGAATCTCTTGCTCATGAACTTTGCCCCAGATTCTGCACTTCCACATATGCATAACTTAATGTGTGTGTTTGCAGAGTCCAGCCCTTTGTGCATATATACGTGTACCTTATGGACACTGAATTACATGATTCTTATTACAGATAATTTAAAATTGTAAAAACCTTGGCAATACCTTGGAGTGCTTGCTTAAAGGCTGGCTTTCACTCTTATTGCAGGAAAAATTCTCTGTTCCTGTAAATTGGTGCTACTCTATTGAAATCGGTAGAGCTGTGTGTGCCAGTTTGCACCAGCAGAGAATGTGTCCCATATATTTTGCATATGTACAACTTTAGAAATGACTGAAAAATTTGCTAATTTGTAAAAAAATCCCTCCCAGACTGAGACCTTGCAGCTGGTTTTTCAATCCACAGCAATTTTTTAAAACCCAGTTATGAACTTCTGGAAAAAAACAGATTCTCCATGGAACTGCTGATTCTCTTTAAATAAAGCAGTATTAATGTGCAGCTGTATCCCTGACTCATTTCCTAATACAGTAGCTCTTTAACATACAACTTGCTCAGTAAACTGTATGTGGAAACAGTTCTAGAAAACACATTCTGCTTTTGTGATGCAATATAAAATTATAAATATTGTCATGGTCCTTGAAACCCCATTTCCTCACAAAGTTCAGGGATTTTCTCCTGCTCCCACTGGAATTAATGGATGTTTTTTATCTTTGACTCCAATGACAACAGGATCAGCTGTCAGCTTTTCATTTCTTATAAACTAGTAATCTAATTTCTCATGTCCATTTCTTTTAGAAAGCTTCTCTTTTCAGGAGCTTTACATAAATTGTGTTAGTTTCCTATGTCTTTTCTTATCTGATGAATTAATCTTAAAATAAATATTAAAATTAGGGGTGTGCTCATTCTTTTATGTGTATTTTATTCAGGGTGTATATGAAACAAGCCATTTAACAAAATATTTGAATTTGTTTAACATGGTCCCATAAACAAGCACAAATATAGAGTAACCATTGGTGATGTGGAGGTTAGTCAGATCCATGCTGAACATTGTCATGTCTGTTACTTGGCATGACACAATGAGGTGGCCTCGACTTTGAATTTATGAGGGAAGAAAAGGATAAGAGGAAGAAGAAACTTGTTTAGGAAGGTTTTTTTTTTATTGTATGTGAGATAAATTCTGCTGAAGTAGAAAGCAAAATTTGTGCTGTAGCCATTTGGTAAACTCCTGGCCCCATTGAAGTCAAGGGAAGTTTTGCCATGGACTTCAAAGGGGACAGATTTTCATCCCAAATCTACAGTTCCTTCCCTGGGTTTTCAACATGCCCATTCCAAACTACAGTATGTACAAATTTAACCCTAGCACACATTTTTTAAGAAATCGTCTCCACTTGAGGCTTTTTTCTCTTCTTTTTCTTTTCTTCTGATGGCCATTTACTACCTTCCTCAGGTCAAAACCACCCCTTCATAAAAGTCCCCCCTTACTGTGACCCAAAGTAATGGATTCCAACATACATCCTTCATTTCTCATTTACTGACTCAGTGGTAGTTGACAAAGACAGATCTAATGCTCCTCATGCTTCTCTCAGTGGATTCTGATCTCTCCATTCCTTTCACTTACATTCATGCCACAACATAGGTGCTTTAGTATTACAGGCTCTGTAAAATTAAATACAAGTACACCTCTACCTCGATATAACGCTGTCCTCGGGAGCCAAAAAATCTTACCGCGTTACAGGTGAAACTGTGTTATATCGAACTTGCTTTGATCCACCGGAGTGCGCACCCCCACCCCCGGAGCGCTGCTTTACCGCATTATATCAGAATTCGTGTTATATCGGGTCGCGTTATATCGGGGTAGAGGTGTATATGGATACCTTCCCTGCCCTACTGTCAGTCAGTGAGTCCCTGGCCTGTAGCAGGCCTTATTGTAACTGACAATATATCACTGCCCAACTTTAAGCTTCTAAATGTGGGGGGGGGAGGGGCAGAGGTGAAAAACACATACATTGTTCATGGTCCTTAAGTGTAGTGTAGTTTTGATTAGCTGCAATCATACTTTTTACATATGTACTGCAGTGAATTTTGTAAAAATATTGCTCCCAATCCTGCAAGCCCCTCCAGGGTGCTTTGACCATCTGGGCAGTCCCATTGAAGCCATTGGGACTGGTTCATAGGCACAAAGTGTCTGGCTTTGGCTTCAATGGGACTGCTCCTGCAGCGTGTAAAGTTAGGTCCTGGAGGCCCTGGAGACTTGAGTATTATCAGATGCAACCTTTGCAGCACTTTGCCATTAACCCTTTGCTGGGGGGCAGACTGATGATTTGGGGGTTGGATTACATAAATGCAGACTGATCCTGGTGCGGTGCACCTACTGGCTGTGCAGTATGTGCTGTGTGGCTAGAGGATTGCGATTCGAGTGGTGCACCGCATCACACTGTCCCCTAGATGTCTCTGTGCTCAGATAAGGCCCGAAACATGATGAAACGAAAACAATTGCAAGGACACAGATGTAGGGGGACGGAAAAGCCTAGACTTCCTCTTTACGCGTCCTCTGATTGGCTTGCGAAGGTTATGAAACCCCTGAATGGGCGCTACAACCTTGCAGCAAACTTGTAAGGAGGCAGAAAAAACTTGCTCCGGTGTCTGTGCGTGTACACAGCAAAGGCGGCACCGGTCCAACATGAAATCAGCCTTTGTTTTGCTGACTGCGTTGGTAGCCTTGACAGCCTATTATGTGTACCTGCCCTTACCCAGCACAGTGTCGGATCCCTGGAAGCTCATGCTGCTGGATGCGACTTTCAGGGCAACCCAGCAAATGGTAAGCTTGATCCATGCAATTTTATTCTCGCTTCGCCTTCCCTCGCCGCCCCCCACACGCCCCTTTTATTTCTCTCCGTTGTGATCAGCTGAGGAAATGTCATTTGTAGCCGAGGGTTGATTTTAAGAGAGGAGAGGCGCCTCAGCCTTTTGCAGAAGCTGCTGCCGCCAAGACGCCTCCGGGCGCCTTGGCAGAAATTAGCTCTGCAAATGCATCTGATCTTGATTTCTTTCAAGTACAGTGCTAATACGCTATAAATTCTGCTGTCTGACGGCTCTGCACCTCTTGGATAAATTGGTTGGTTGATTTACAGCATCAAGCGCTCCCTCTTCCTCCCTTGCTGCCTTTGCATTCAATGAATGAGACATGCCAAAGAAACCCCTTTGTGCCAGCTCCTTTCCTCCCTTGGATGTAGTTGCGGTGGCTGATGGACTCTCGGCAGGGAATCTAGAAATAGAATCGGATCTCTGTCTCTCTCGCTCACACACTTTGTACAGTGTGTACTATAGTACATCAGCTGGGAGGAAAATGCCCCACGAGTCACTCCATTTAAAAAGCATGAGGTCGGTCCTTATCTTGTTGACTAGGCTGCGGCTGCCCTTGTGACATTGGGGAGCCAGCTCGGAGCGAAGGCTCTTCCCACTGCTCAGTACAAAATCAACCCTTTTCAGTTTCTTAGGACCCCCACCCCCTGAATCATTTGACAGTGGGACGTGATGGGCTGACTCCATTGTAGAATCTGAAAGTAATTTTGTAGTCAGTCCCTACTCCCGGCAGGTAAGAAGGACAGCTAACCTCAATGTCGTAGACATTTGCTGCATGCCATAACCGAGAAGGGGCTGTTGATCTCTGCTTTACTTAATCCCACTCTCAGATCGAGAAGCATAAGGCTTTGGGGATTTCAGATGCAATGTATTTCCTTCTCTCTAGATGATGGCGACCGTTTGTATGCAGTTTATTACATGTTGCCTTCTGTGCATTTCCTAAGACTAGAAACAAATTGAGTGCTTTCATCCTAGCAAAAACAACAAGGAGTCTGGTGGCACCTTAAAGACTAACAGATTTATTTGGGCATAAACTTTCGTGGGTAAAAACCTCACTTCTTCAGCACTTTCCCCATCATATTCCAGGAAGACTGTAGGGTGGAAGAGATTGAAAGCAGAGGGAAAGTCTTTCAAATTAGTATTTGGGCTTTCACGAATAAACAAGAGGAGTCTACCTTTGTACACTGTATTTGTTACACTGTGTTTTCCAAATAACATTTCAGCGGCTCCCTAACCTTTTCCCCACTTTAAATTTTGTTCTGGTGGTTGCATGGTGACATCATGCAGACCAGAGGTTACAAAACGTTTCACAGAATGGTTTTACATAAATTTAATTCCTCTTCTGCTAGTACAGTCTGATCTTTTTATAGTGATTGATCAACAACCATGGTTTTACCCTGCAATATACGCTGAGGCACTTTTTAAAAAACTATTTTTGTCTGTAGTGCTTCGTTTTATAAAACTGCATACGTGAAAAACACTTTTTAAAACAGCAATTTATAGCAATTTAAAAACATTTAAAGGATGTGTCTCAGCTTTTCTGTGGAGACCAAGACTGACATTTTAATAAGTCTATGGGGAGGGTGAACTGGTTTTTCACACACACCCTTGTAATAGATGACATATTGCATTGGCCAAATGACACAAAAGTGCTCCAAAATAGCTCCATTCTTCAATAGAAGTTAAGGGTACACAGCACCTTACATGTTTGGGCCCCTTCATTTGTTCCCTATGAGTGTCCGAAGCAGTTGGATTGTAAGTATCCACCATAATCAGTGCATAGATTTTTAAGGCCAGAAGGGCCTGTGATGATAATCTACTTAAACCTCCTACATAACGTAGGCTATAGAATTTCACCCTGTAATTCCTGCATCATACCCATAACCTCTAGTTGAATGACAGCATATCTTCCAGAAAGACATCTGCTCTTGATTTAATCAGTCTTTGTGTACATGTGACTATTAGTGTGTAAACGCCATATGTCTCCACCATATTATTTATTTATGTAACACCACAAGTACATGGTACTGCATCCTGGGTAAAACAACAAACAGTCCCCACCCGCAGGAGTTTACTTTCTAAAGAAAGAAACAAGTGAGCACAATACAGAACAAGTATGGAGTGGAGTGTAATCTTCATAGATGGAACACATCACAGTACAGCTGAGCCTTCAAGAGTTTGTTTTAAGGAGCAAAGAGAGAGAAGGTGCTTGGCAGATATTAATTAGGAGGCTTTCCAAAGCTGAGTGAAAGCATAAACTCAGGAATGAGGGACTGTCTTTAAAATGGGAGCCTGAAAGACCAAAAACTCAATGTGTGAGTAGCTGAAGTGGTAACTATAAAAGTCAAGCCATGGCAGTTATTTTCAAAGTCAGTTTTTACAACAAAGGATACTTTCGGTAGGGCTAAATTTCCCTCTGCCTCCCACAATGATTGTTACAACACTGACTGGTTTTAGGTTTCTTTAAATGTGACCACTGAACTTTCACCTACTCCTGAATGTGTTTTCAGCTTGTTACTGTTTATCACAATAATATCCCATAAGGGTTTGATGGCAGACTGAAGTAATACTTTTCTGGCTAAATGTTCCGATTTTAAAATCTCTGGAGTTTATCAGCGTTTACCTAGAGCGGCTCCAGCCCGACGTGCACCGGGGGCAGGGCAGGCTCCCTGCCTGCCCTGCCCCCGCGCCGCTCCGGGAAGCGGCTGGAACGTGGGGAACGGGGGCACAGGGGTCTGTGTGTTGCTCTTGCTTCAGGCAGCGCCCCCAGCAGCTCCCATTGGCCACAGTTCCCCATTCCCGGCCAACGGGAGCTGCTGGGGGTGGTGCCTAAAGCAACAGCAACACACAGACCCCTGTGCCCCTCCGCCCCCAAGTTCCGGCCACTTCCTGGAGCAGCGTGGGGACAGGCAGGCAGGGAGCCTGCCCTGCCCCTGGTGCGCATCGGGCTGGAGCCCGCCCCCCGAACCTCTCCTGCAGCCGAACCCCCGCCCTGAGCCCCTGCCACACCCCACACCCCTCCTGCACCCCCTGGGAACAGGAAGCGGGCAGAGTTGGGGTGGGGATTTCGGGGAAGGGGTTGGAATGGGGGCGGGGCCTCATGGAAGGGGTGGAGTGGGGGCGGGGCCGAGGGCAGCGGGGGGGAAGTGTCAGTAATGCGGCCCTCGGGCCAATGTACTAGTCCTCATGTGGCCCTCGTGGTCATTTGAGTTTGAGACCCCTGGGCTAGAGTGCTCAGTACCTTACAGGATCAAGTCCATATATATTGATTGCTTCGTTCATTACTCAAGTGCAACCCGCTCTCACATGAGAAATAGCAACTGCTTTACAGTTCACAGCAGCACTCCACAGGACAGGAAATTAAGAAGAATATGAATTCATTTTAGACGAAGCTTAGGTAGGCTGAAGTCTTTATCTAGCTTGAATGTGCCCAAACCAAAACACAGATTAATACTTCCATGTGTTATGACTGAGCTAAAGACTGAAATAGAAGTGCTATTGTTGTCTTTCTGCTGCAGAATGCCCCAGTGAATACTCACTAATGAATGTGATGAGATTTGGGGTTGTCCTGATCTCTTAAGGGAAGAAGTTCCATAGTTGTGGATGTGCAGCCAGGAAGGCGCTTAGTCCCCCACTTTCCCAAGTTTCACTCATGTGGAGCCTGATCCAAAGCTTTGAATCAGCCCATAGTGGAGAGCTCCATGGTTCCAAATGAGCAGCGTAGTCAGGTGCATTTACCGTCCCTGAGACAGTCATACCGCATCTCACTGGGGCTTTGACAATCATTAAAGGACCTCAGATTTAACCGCGTAGCAGCTAGAGAGGCAGCGAAGGGAGCAGGGCACTGAGCTGATATGTTTCAGCAGACCTGCTGCCAGGGGGTACATTCAGGATACAGTATGTTGCAAAACTGTTGAGCTCAGAGGGCATGAATGTGTGTATCAGTAGAGTCAACATAGAGCTTAAAACGGTGGCAGCTGTGGAAAAAAAAGTCACAGGCAAGCTGTGACTGACCTGACCTTTGCCTGAGGCCTGGTCTACACTATGACTTTAATTCGGATTTAGCTGCGTTAATCCGAATTAATCCTTAACCCGTCCACACAACGGAGCCAGTTACTTCGAATTAAAGGGCACTTAAAATCGATTTCTGTACTCCACCCCGACGAGCGGAGTAGCACCAAAATCGATTTTGTTAATTCGAATTAGGGGTAGTGTGGCCGCACACCACCGAATTAATGTGGTTAAAATTAATGGGGTAGTGTGGCCGCACACCACCGAATTAATGTGGTTAAAAACCGAATTAATGTGCTTAGTGTGGCCGCGCACAATCGAATTTATACAATCTGTTTCCCAAATTCGAATTATCTAAATTCGAATTAATCTCGTAGTGTAGACGTACCCTGAGTCTGTGATTTCACTGCCCTCACTGTGTCAGAGCACGGGATTGTGGTAGGTCAGCGTGTGTGTGTGTTTCTGTATCTCTCTCCCTTTCACTTGGCAACATATTCCTGGAATGCGGGGAGACAACACCAGGCTGGGATCGTGAGAAGGAATAGGAGTGTGGCAGAGAACGGGAGAAGAAAGGGGGAGCAGATTAAAGGTGAGGGAGATCAGAGGAGAAAGTGAGAAAGAAACCAAGAGAGAAGAGACAGTCAAAGTAAATATGAGAACTAAAAGCCCGGGAGAAAGAAGAGAAAGTATAAAGACTAAAGCCTTGTCCACACTACAACCAAGATTCTGCTGCATATTACGGGCATGGTGGGTGTAACCAGTTACAAGAAAATGGGTCAGTTTATGTCCACACAGCAACTTTTCTGCCATCATGAATGTATGTACACCTGTCAGTCTGATTAACCATGAGGTGTTTTTTTAAGATGTGCATTCTAGAGAAATATGGGCAGCTATCCTAATCTGCCTTGCCAGGTGAGAGTGCCTGGAGGATATGTCATCAGCTGC